AATGCAACATTCTTATCTAATAAGCATACATACTATGTGCAAGTCTTTTCCGGATTATTCGATATCCCATCTCGAAACATCCAACGACTTGGAACTGTAATTAAGATCATAGCTTTCAAGATATGTTCCATGATCACCATCTCTATGCGCAACCATATCTTATAGTTGTAAGTGATCTAGGGACTTTATCTTAAGTGCAAATATATGATAAATGCTTACTCTTAAAATAAAGTAATGCCTTATTATTTAATATAATTCCAATAGATTGTATTTACAAGTAGAATATGTCCAATTCCATTGGAACGCCGGGTATACTACTCTAACACGGAGACTTGTACAAAGCCGGCTCAGTAGGTGGTATCACCAGATCTTCTTCTGCTCTCCCATGCTCCTTCGGGTTCTCTTTTACTTCCTTCACCTCTTCGGGCATAATCACGGTTACCGAATTTGCATGCTCCGGCTGACTCGGCAATTTCTCTTTATTCAACTCAGTTTCGATGGTCCCGACCCGAGTGGCTAGCTGGCCTACTTGCGTCTCAAGACGCTTAATTGATGCATCTTGGTTCGTGATGAACTGAAGGATTTTGTCCAGCTTATCATCTTGATTTGACGAGTTCGATCCGGACCCTTGGGCTTGTTGTGGTTGTTGCTGCTGTTGGTAGTTCGGACTAGGAATGAAGTTGGGGCAGGATTGCTGCTGCATGAAGTTTGGATGGGGTGGCTGTAGAGTGTTGTTGTTGTTGGACCACGAGAAGTGTGGGTGATTTCTCCATCCAGGGTTGTATGTGTTGGAGAAAGGGTCGTTGGCTTGCCGGTTCTGATATCCTTGGAGGGCTTTGACGTCGGCATATTGGTCCCCGAAATCCTGATCGATTGCTGATGGGCACACCTCTGACCTGTGCCCTTGAGCTCCACACGCACCGCATGTATCCACTGCCATGGTTTGGATTGGTTGCATTCCTCGAGCATTTAGTAGCCGCATTTTCTCCGTGAGCTCGGCTATCTGATGAGCCATCATGTCCTGTCTCGGAGATGCCTCGTTCACCATGGTCTTCTTCCCTCGACTGCTCTTTTGAGATGAATTGGAACTCATTGCCTCAAAGATATCCATCATCTCTTCTGCCGTTCTTGCCCCGATATCTCCACCAGCAGCGTTATCCACCATGTACTGAAGGTTCTGGTGGAGAGAATCATAGAAGCTGTTCATCAAAAGGGCCGGTGGGAAGTTGTGGTGTGGACACTGTCTCTGTAGGTCCTTGAAGTGTTCCCACGCTTCGTGAAGTGGCTCGTGCGGTTGTTGGGCAAACAAGACAATTTGGGACCTCAGCTCTTGAGTTTTCTGGTGGGAGTAATACCTCCCAATGAACTTTGAGTACACTTTCTCCCAAGTGGTAAGAGAATCTGGAGCAAGTGTCATAAACCAAGCCTTAGCCCGGTCCTTGAGGGTCTCCGGAAAGCACCTCATCTTCAACTGATCCTCGTTCAGCCCGTGAAGTGGAAAGGTTTGGAGCACGTTATAGAATTCTCGTATAAAGTGAAGTGGATCTTCATTGGGAAGACCATGGAATGATGGGAGTTGGTTGTAGTGGATGGTTTTGAGCTCGTAGTTCCGAGCTGCTATCCCCAGTCGGATGCACGAAGTCACTGGCCCAATCACCGGTTGAGCCAAATCACGAAGAAGAGACTTAGGAGGATTGTTGACCTCCTCATCTTGCTCATTCTGTGCCATGTCGGTTTGGTCTTCTGATGTAGATGATACTGGTGCAAGACTAGCTAGTAAGTCTCGTAGGTCCTGTTGGATGGATTCGTCGTTTGGGATGATTACACGACCACTCCTGGTACGCATAAACACAAACAACAAGAACGTCATGGGCACTAGATAGACAACAAAAATGAACGAAGAGAAATCGCAACAAAGAAAACAATAAAACTAGACAAAGAAAACAAAACAAAAGAAACACAAAAAACAAGAAATCACAGAAAATAAGAGAAACACTGAAAACAAATGAATAGGCGCACAAAATAAGTCCTAAACCTTCCCCGGAAACGGCGCCAATTTGTTGTAAATATTTTTACCAGAGTAGAATCGAAAGATTCAACACCGAGTCGTCTCACAAGGAAGGTCAGCCGGATTATTTTGTACGATTATTCAAACACAAAAATGGAAAATAAAAGAAGTGAAAATCCTAAACATTCTAAATCAAGTTTGGAGGTTTGTTTATCGACTACTAATTGAAAAGCAAGTAATTAAAAAGGCTAGACAAAAGTAGGAATCACAAGTTCGCAACTCAATACTCAAATAATTATAAAGGAGCTAGGGTATCGGGGTCAATCAATTCCGGTTCTCAATACACTTAACGAGCAATCAAATCTCGGTTAAATGCCTCACAAAACTACTCATCTAGAGATCTATTCTCAATAACTCTTCGTAACAAGAGGATAGACATAAACGAGTAATTCTTGAAACAATCAACACATAAGCAATACTATTACGAACAAGCTTACTCCTAACGATCCTAGATCGAACGATTTCTCCCTTTTCAGTTTTAAAATCGATTAATTAGATTAAGATGGTGATCAAACATCAAAACCCTAGGCTAAGCACAACTCGAGAGGATTGAGCAATTTATCATGCATATAAACGAAATCGAACCGGAACGATCTTCTCCTAACCCTAGCTAATGGATTTAGCTACTCATCATGCATTCAACATCAAAATATTCAATAATCAAAGCCATCTCAATCAAAAGAAAATGAAAGTAAAGCTTATGATTAACAAATCAAATGTCAAGAAAAACAACGAGCAATCCAAGATCCAAAGCTAGAAAAGGAGTTTTTATGCTCCAAAATCCAATCCAAGCCAAAAACAAGTGCAAGAAAGTGTTCTATGGTGAAAAGATATTAAAAAACAAAAAACGAAGTCTGAATACCCAAAAACTGACTAAAATTCGATCCTTAAGCTTCCCAATTCGAAATTCCGAGAAAATAGCTTCAGTTACAAAACGGGGCATAGCGGCGCTATGACCATAGCGCCGCTATGGTTGAAGACAGTCGAGCCTCAGCCCCTCTCTATGCATGCAGCGCCGCTTTAAGGGCTGGCCATAGCGGCGCTATGTCCTGGGCAGCTTCCAAAATTTCCAAGTTTTGAACTCGCGATCTCTCGTCTCGCATTTCTCGGGTACTGCCCGAGCTATAAACTCAATCCTCACATGTTCTAGACGCATGAACCAATGTATAACTCCTAGGAGCCAAAACCGAATACCGCTATCATCATCTGAACCTGAAACCACCACAACCGGAAAAACACGAAAAATAAGAAAATAGGAGGAAAAACAAAGAAAATACTAAACACGGCATAATAAAGATAAAAACACAAGAAACGACAAAATGGACCGAAAATACCTAATAAAATACCTAAAACAGGGGAAACGACACACAAAATAGCAACGATAATAGTAACAAAAACGGGACAAACAGCTATCTTTACCCTTCTTCGAGAGACGACAATCTTTCGCAAGATGTCCAGATTTACCACAATTGTAGCAATTCCCTTTGAACTTCTTGGTGCTCGTTTGAGGTCGCTTTCCCTTTGAAGTTCTCTTGCGCTTCTTATTGGAGCTTGAATCGGCCAAGTTTGCCTTAGCCTCGAAGTCGCTCCGGTTGGCCCTTACTTCAGATTTTCGATTATCTTCCTCAATTCGAAGTCGAACAATCAAGTCCTCCAATGTCATCTCTTTGCGTTTATGCATGAGATGGTTTTTGAAGTCCTTCCAAAGTGGTGATAACTTTTCAACAATAACCGCAACTTAGAAGGCCTCATTCACAATCAATCCTTCCGCCAACAAATCGTGAAGGATGATTTGAATCTCTTGAACTTGGCTAACCACCGACTTAGTGTCCACCATTAAGTACTTTAGGAATTTGCCGACGAGAAATTTCTTAATCCCGGCATCTTCTGTCTTGTACTTCATCTCCAAGGAATTCCATAACTCCTTTGCCGTCTTAATCAGACTATAGACGTTGTAGAGAGAATCGTCTAGTCCGTTAAGGATATAATTTCTACACAAGAAATCATTGTGATGCCAAGCATCCGAGGCCGTACGCCTTTGCATGTCGGTCTCACTTTCTGGGACAATCAAAGGGTCCTCCGAAAGAAAACGAGAGAGGGAGAGAGTTGTGAGGTAGAAAAGCATCTTTTGTTGCCACCACTTGAAATCAGAGCCATTGAGTTTCGGCGGTCTCTCGCCTTGGACAGGAGCAACTACCATCGGTATAGCGGTAGGTTGAGCATTTTTTTGGTTTCCTTCGGTTGCCATCTTATGAACTCACAATATTTGTCTTAAGATTGTAGTTTATATTTTTGGTATGTGAATTTCAAGAATGTCTTTAGAAAATAGAAGGAATATTGGTTAAACGAACAAAGTCGAGGCACGTAAGATACGCTCTCCTTAAGACGAAATAGCCCCGTATATTACCCACGGTTCACGGCTAACGCCTCCAAGATACAATGACTTTCGATTTGTGTATAGTGGTAACTCAAATACACAAACCTTCGACGAACAATA